AGTTTGCCATGTTGAGTTTTCCCATGCGTCACGTAAAGCTAAGAGACCTACGTCCGCCATACCACACACGCAATAGAAGTATTGAGTTCTTGACCTCACCTTACCGTTCCGACCAGCGCGTCCACTTCGCTATGCCAGACTGGGCGCCACTCGTTCAAATACAGATCACGAGGAACGGCGATCGGTGGCGTGATGGAGAATGATATCCATAGCAGACAGGAACATAGCATCTCCACGAAGTACGGGAATACGTGTGGTCTGTATTGTAAGTTTGATGAAGACGACATCGCGGCAGTGCCACGAGATCTGGCCGGGCTTGCCGCGCTCGGAGCACGACATCTGTCAATCAATTCTAGACGTGTTTTGGGGCGACAATATCCAACTCTTATCCTCCCAGTCATTGTCTCACATGGCATGCTCGATTTACAGGCTCAGCACAATCTCTCAGTGGCCATTGTGACAGCTTCCGCAGCTCCAGGGTCTAGACTTCACGCCATGGACAGCTCCGACCTCACGCAATTGAGGGGTATGACGGTTCTCGACCTTCTGCACCACCTTTACGCTCTGCGAGGCTCATGCTATTCCCGCAAAAGGGGTCCTGACATCGAAGCCATTGAGCGAATGGCTATGGCGTGATACCCATGGGAGAGCAAGCTAAGTACAATCTGAACCTATTCCCTTCCTATACCCTTTCTCTTGTCCACCTCATCTCCTTGACCTTTCGCAATCACTCAAAACGTTTCACTCAATCGCGGTAGTAACGCAACCATGCCTTCCTCCCCTGGCCAACTCATCTTCTATGCCTGGACCGGCTCACCCTGGGCGAGCAAAGTAGTCGCCTATCTCGCTTTCCGGGGCATTCCCTACAATCTCTGCGAGCAACCCATCACCCTGCCACGTCCAGATCTCGCGTCTCTAGGACTGAAATACCGCCGCATTCCCGTGCTAGCCTGGGGCAAGGACATCTACTGCGACACCTCTCTCATCATCGCAAAGCTCGAGCAATGGATCTCAGGGATGGACTACAAGGCAATCGGCGCCAGGGACTCCACCGGCAAAGCACTGGAGCATCTGCTGGAGAAGTGGACGGATGTTGCAGTCTTCGGTCCGGCAGCAGGCGCCATTCCGAGCAGCTTGGAACTTGTGCAGGACCCAGGCTTCCAGAAGGACCGGGAAGAGCTATGGGGACGGCCGTGGACGAAGGAAGAGCAGGATCGACTGCGACCAGCCGGGTTGGCAAGTCTGAGAGGGAATTTTGATTTCCTCGAAGGGCTGTTCGGCGATGGTAGGAAGTGGGTCAACGGTGGCGACAGCCCTGGCTTGGCGGATATACATAGTAAGTTTCGTAGCCGAAGTTCGCTGCACCATTACTGACAATACCTTCCCACAACAGGCGCATGGATCTTCAGCTGGATGCTCAGCCTCCCCAACGGCCTGCCCGAAGACTTCTTCAGCACAAGAGACTACCCCAAGACCCGCGCCTGGATCAAACGCTACGACGACGCTCTCGCAGCAGCCCAGAAAGCCGCCCCACAGCCAACCAAGATCAAAGGCCCCGAAGCCTTGAAGAAAGTCACATCCGCTGACTTCGTGTCGCAAGGCGATCTGCAAGTCGAGGAAGACCCTACGGGTCTGACTTTCGAGCAAAAGGTGGAGATGTTTCCTATTGACACTGGAAGCAAGCAGCGAGATGCTGGGAAGCTGGTGATCCTGAAGAAGTCGGAGATGGCTATTTCGACTAAGACGCAGAAGGGAGACGCTGAGGTGCGCATTCACTATCCGAGGTTCAACTTCAGCATCGGTCCGCCAACTACGCGGGCGGATGGCAATTACTAGGTGGTACTATAGCGTAGTATGATACTGTGTACAATCCTTCCATGTTGTGACGTCCTTGCTTGCATCACAGGTGTGCATATGAGATGGTGTCGTGGAACGCGAATGACAGAAGAAGCGGACCACTCCAGAGGTCCGCGTGATCGACATCGCTGGTATAGACTGCACCGCTACAGCAAATCGTTTTAATGCTGCCTAGGAGAGACGTCGGAGAAGACTACACTCTCTCTGATAGCCTAGCTACGTGTATACATTTGCAGTGCGGCATATAGTAGCATTCTCATCCATGGTGAGTTGCTGAGCGGTCCTCTTCTTTCGTCACCCGCGTGCGCGGGCATTCTCAAGCGTCGTCGAAGTCGAACTTGACAAGCAAAGTGCAATGCGTTTCCCGTCCCTTCAGATCAAGCATCCTGATGAATGTCCATCCCTTCACTACATAAAGCAGCCTGACGGACGCCACAGCGAACATTGGATTCTTCGCAAACTTGTCATCGCTCTTGATGATCAGTCGCAGGAACGTCAACTCATTGTCCTCATACTGCCACTCTAGTGTCTCGTCCCAGACAGGGTCTGTACCAGGAGATGCAGCGCCCTTATGGACCAAGCCAAGCTTGTGCTGCTTGTAGGCACTCGTCTTACGCTTCGCTGGCTTACCTTCAACATCACTCGGGTGGATGAGAGAACAAGTCAGGTAAGGTCGTATGTCGCCTGCGTTGTGGCCTTCAGGTACAGGTACATCAGTCGCGCCGGCGACGTGCAGCCGCAGCTGTCTTTGCCGGCCGGTGTTGAGCTGGCCACTACCGCCTCTCCGTAGTGCTGCGGGTTTAAGCACGAAGCCATCGGTGCCTGCGAACAGAGCCTCATTGAGCTGCATACTTGCATCGAAAGTCTGCCAGTTCAGTGCACAGACTTGCGCTCCAACCCCCCAGTAAATGGCCGGGTTGAGGTTGGCCGAGCTGATCCGTGTGCCTTTCGGGAAGACTCGCATGAGGTGCTCGGAGTTGTGTTTAGCGATCTTGGGGTTTGATGCTGGCATCAGGGAAGACAGGCCAGACTCCGATATGTTGATGAGATGATGGTGAGGATGACTGAGTTCACCTTCGAGCCATGACTTGTCTATGGGTTTGATCGACTGTGCATACACACCCAGCTCTGCCAGCTCGGGGATGATCACACATGCGTCGACGGCGTCCTTCTTTCGTTGCTTGTAAGCCTTGCTATCAGCCTTTGCAGCATTCTCTTCCTCTGATGAGGAGCTCTCAGAGAGCACCTCTCCAACATGGAACTCGACTATGACTGCAATCTTAGCCCCGAGTTGATCCAGAGTGACATGCTCGCCACTCCCCTGTTGCTCCTGCTGTCCCTGCTGTCGAACACGCTCACTGAGAAGACGATGCTGCCACACCTCCTTCATGATCTGGGCAAGACGCAATTGTCCTCGGGTACCGCAATGATTCTCGAGCGAGATCAGTACCGGAGACGGCTGACCATGTTCGGTAGTAGTGCCCTCGTGATCGACAGCATCCCGGATCGCCTCGCAGACTGCTCTGAAGGGGATGTTGGACGCTAGTGTGTAGCCATGCGTGACTTTAGGCTCATCTGGATGCTCTTCGTTGTCCCAGGCATCGATCTCGACACATCTGGCGCCAGTCCCGATTGCAAGACCGTATGCCGTGGTGGAAGAGCTACCGTAGAGCTGATGAGCCAGGAGATACGTGTTATGACTTGAGCTTACGAAGTACTCTGGCAAAGGATGTGATCGATCGATGACAGAAGCCGGTACGTTGATGTGTGCCTTGTCCATGAGTGCCCGCGAAGCAGCCGCGAGCTCAGCATCTTCGAGTCCAGCCGCCAGAGCTTGGTGATGGATGAGAAAATCCTGCAAGGCTTGACTGACGCGAAGCTGCGTCTTCGTGAGGGCAGTCCGAAATGCTGCGTGTCCGCCACCTGCTATGGTCGAAGGACCCGTTACTTCGCCTAGATTCTCGTCGTCTGCGCCATCTTTGCCGAATGGGTTCAACTTCGCAAGACGAGAGGTCAGGATGGAGGGAACGTGGTCTGCCATTTTGTCAAGAGGTCTATTTGATCATTAGTGATCCAATCAAGAAGTCGTTAAATGCGAGATGTAGCGCCGAGTCTCCGCTGTCGTTGATTGTTGCAACGATCGACCCAACGGAAGTCTCGGGAAGGATTCAAAGCTATCAGCTCGGGGCAAGAGCGGCTGAGGTCAATGAAGGCGCTGCTGACACTCTCCTTGATATCTTGACCTGGTCTTGACACTCTCGCTGGCAGCTCAGATTACCCTGTCAGTTGTCACGAAGAAGCTCGAGGTCTGGCAAATTCCGACCCTTGACCAGCCAAGCACGAGGTGAGCGTGTACGCCAAGGCGCGTCGTCTTGGTGTCGATGAGCTGACTTTTGGACCAGGCCAGTCTGTCACCATATCGCGTGCTTCTCCGGCTCGTATAGTTGACGACCTCATCATCATGGCGCGATCACTTCCAGTCTGGCCATTCGTCCTGTTCGGGCTCATCGAGCCAGCTCTCCTGCAAGTCCAATTCATTCGTCCCGTCTTTACACCACCTAACACCTCCCACAGTATATGGGCCTACATCTCCCACCTCCGCGACCCCATCACCTTCTACCTAGACCATGTGCCCGGCATCGCCGCAGCTGCATCGCCCTTTACACCGCAAGCAGAAGTGATGCTCTACCTTCTCGGCAACGTCTATCTCCTGCTCGCTGCCCTGGCAGTCATCTGCTGCTGGACGAGGCATCGTAGTATCGTGCAATACTATCTACTTGTTGTGGCGTTTGCTGATCTCGGTCACATCTACGCTACATATCGTGTGTTTGGTTGGGAGAAGTTCGTGGAGTTTGCGCAGTGGAACGACATGGCTTGGGGGAGCATTGGAGGAAGTGCGTTCTTGCATGTCAATCGACTTGCCACGCTGTTGGGGCTATTTGGGAGGCTGAAGTAGATGGTCTCTCAATGATCTTCTCGTCAAGATCGAGAGCGAGATAGCATCATTGGCGTTAGCGCAAGCATGTTCGACGTACTATCCCGTGCAGTCTATTCGTCCTTCCGCGACCTTCTCATCACTTCCCCGGTGTGCTTAACGATCGGTATGAGCAAAAGGGAAAGCCGTCAACATGACGAAAAAGTACTCTCCCCACCAAGGTTCGAACTAGGGACCTCAAGATGAACAGTTTCCATTACAGTCTTGCGCTCTTCCAACTGAGCTATGGAGAGGCTGACGCTGGGTTTGAGCCAACATGGACGGCAGGTGCGACCCACACATTCTGGGGATTAACCCGGGTCTTATTGTAAATATACTTAACACAATTTCCGGGAGTCGTACAAACTGCGCGGCGATTCATGTCTACATGGCTCCAAGTACCTTTTTAAGACGACTTCTTTGGATAGCTGACTGGCTCAGCGATTTCACATCTCCCGCATCGTGGCAGGCGTCGCACCGGACATCGGTTGTCATGGCTATCTCATGCCCTGACCCCAGTCACTGCACGCTCTTAAACCCAACGCCGCCCCGGCATGCTTCAAGTACGCACACGCCCACCTCAGACTAGTGACAGGGTCTCCTAGTACGACGGCTCCTCGCCACCAGCTGGCTGGCTCTCCTCCTGTCCACCCTCACCACCCTCCGCCTCTTGCGAGTCCTGCTGCTGCTGTTGCTGCAGCGCCTGAGCCTGCGCAGCCTTAGCACCGTAGTCCTGGCTGTTAGGTGCACCCACCGGCTGCTCGTCCTTCGGCTCGATGATGGTGACGGAGTCTGGCAGACCCTTACCACCAGACTTCTCGCCAGCTGGGTCGCCGGGTGTCGAGGAAGCGCGCATGATCTTCACCTTGATGCCGAGCACACCTTGACGGAGGAGTACGTGACGGGTGGCGTGGTCGATGAAGTCTTTTGCGGGTTGACCGGAGTGGATCATGAAGCCGTCGGTGAACTTCATGGACTTGGCACGAGCGGCACGGAGCTTGCCTGACACGACCACCTCGCAGCCCTTAGCGCCCGACTCCATAATAAAGCTGGGAATGTTGTTAGTGCTGACTTATGCGATTGAGAAGCGAGACAGCCTACCGAAGGACACCGTAGCATGCGCGACGGACGGCAAGACCGTTGAGGAGCTTGTAGCGGAGGGACTCGCACTGGGCGACGGCGGAAAGACCGCGGGATTGGACCTTGGCGGCGTAGAGGGAGACACTGTCTGCGGGGAACTTGTAGCGGTGGGTGATGAGACTGGTGAGCTGCATTGAAGTCAGCACGTGGATCTCAGCTGTTGTGAGTTTCAACAGTTTTACCTCACGAATCCTCCTTCCTTGCTCGCCGAGCACCTCTTGAGTGTGGGTTGCGCGAATGATGATGTCCGTGACTGTAGGAGTGACGCGGACTTCGACGCCAGAGTAGCCTTCCTCAGCGAGCTCGCGCTGGAAGAACTCGTTGAGCTCGGCGTAGAAGACACCGTCGGCGATGAACTTTCTGCGCTTGGAGATGTTGATGCCACCCAGGGCCGGGGCGGGGGCGGTTTGCGACTGCATGTTGGCGGGAGTGCAAGTAATTGACTGCGAAGAGAAACTTTGTCAGCTTCCAACTCATGATAGTATGCTGTCTCCATATCCTCGCGTGTTCCTCCACTGCACTACTGTGTGATCTCGACCTCCCCTCCTGCTCCGCCAATATTGGCATATCACCACTGCCTGGCCCCTGTCGCCTTTCACAGCTCGCGAGCTTCGACGACGTGAATCCTCAGATCATCACTTTCGCGCGATCTCTTGATTGTCTTTGCGATGCCTCCTCTCTACCACCGAATGCACAGTTCCTCGTCGGATCCAACAACGTATTGCCCAAGTTGTTGCCGCAAGCAACCCTCCTAAGTCCCGTATTTCTGTCACAAAGTGAGTGCGCTTACCTTGTTCTCTGCTGCTTTCTAGTGCAATCGTTGATTCGTCAAAGTCGTGGTGTGTCAATCCTCGCGCACAGCTGGAGTCAAAGTCGCTGTGGTCGCTTCGAATTCAAGTCGAAGTCTTGGCGGTGGGATGCATCGGCGAAACTCGGCTTCCGCGTCGGAGTTGACCTGTTGCCGAGAAAGCAAGTTGAGACGTCAGCTCGCATTGCGCGTGGTGGCAGGACGGGACAGCTGTAAATGTTTCTATTCCACCTCCTAGTAATCGTCGCACATTTTCGCGTAATTTGTTTGCTGTAGCTTAGTCGGAGCATTTGCTTCGTGTACAGATTGAGCCATGGTGAAGTCGCACTTGCCGGGTCACATGGACACGGCGCGACAGCTTATGCGACCAAAGTGGGTGACCTCT